ATTCCCAGTAGCCTGCCCATATCCTTAGGTGACACAAGCTAAAATTAGCCTAACCATAGAAAATACTAGAACATTCCATAATTAATGCTGCATCAGAAGAGGCAGATGGACTGGCCCCAAAGTGAGAGATATTATCTATAAAAAAGTTAACAGCAGCACAAGACTCTCTAACATAACTCTGGGAGGAAGACTGTATCATAAGAATCAGTCCCCTCATAATTCAAAACAATTTAATAATTGCTTTTAATTGTTCATAAGCTTGCAGATGCAATGCATGCAGAAAAAAAATGTGTTGGCATGTGTTCAAACAGGATTTAGTCTACACCTTATTGGATACATGTTGAGTCTTTCTCCATCTACACTGTAAAAGACTGTCTGGCCACTTCAGTCTGCCCTCCTCCCTCCTCCCAATATCATGGGGCCATCTCTGAAGCAAGTTGGAAAAGGAATTTAGGAGACATTTTGGTGATAAGGAAACACTTTATTTCAAATACAAGCTGGCATCAACAGAATCACTGGTGGGATCAACTACAAACCCTTCCAAAGCTTCTTGAAATCTAGTAGCCTTTTCAGATTATGCCAATAGATCTACTGTTACAGAATCAAGATGTAGCCACTAATCCAGCCCTAACCAAATGATGGTCCTTCACGACAGTGGGAACTGGAACCTTCCCAATCATGGCATATCTCCATCAGAACAGATCAAACTGAGAATGTGACCTCCATCATATGTTGACTGATTGGAACGACCTCCTCAGCTGCTCAAGACAAACTGGTTCCCAAATGGATATTGGACTCCCTCAGCACTGTAAGCCCGTGGGACTCTGAACAAGTCCGAGATCAATTCTAGAAGCTCTGTTTGGATTTCATTAAGTGGTGGAAGAGGCAGTTCATTCACAAAATCTCTAGGCTAACCTGCGTACCAAGACTGAATTACGCACATTTTAGTATAAAGCAGTTTTCTCAGTATTGTGGAACATTTTGATGGGAGCCACGGCACCTATACATGCTCACCTGTCTCCCTCAATTGTGTTTCATTACACAAGCCAAATGGACTACTTTACCCACCACCCACAATTGTGCATGATCTCCATTTCATTTCAAGTTGACTTGTTCTTACAAAAGAACTGGTTCTTTGTGGAGATGGAACCTCCTTAAGACTTGAGAAATGACAAGACTGTTGGAGAGAGGAATACTCTTACATTTCTAATCTCCGTTCCCTATTAGCTAGCTAGTTTTCATTCAAATGCTATACCTATAGTGGCAAATGAGCATATAGCAACAATGTAGGATTATCGGCCAATAAACAAATGAATAGTGAATAACGAAGCATTTGAATGTCTCTATTAGGTAAATACAGTTCTAACACAACATAATGTCACTATTAACCAAATACATTTTAGCAGTCTGGGGCTGGGTTGGCATATCACGCTGATACATAAACTGGTTTCTTTGGTTCTAACTTGATATATTATGCAAAGTCTTCATTGTAGTAATGTTTTATGGTTTATGAGTCCATGAACCTAACCTTTATACCTAGCTAAACTATGGTGTGATGTTTAATGTCAGTCTAGGTGTCTTCTTGTGGACAGTGCTGCATTCTTTTCTTAAAATAAATGAGACAAGCTTCAGCATGTGTAGCAGTGAAAGCATTACTTGAATATGGGGTGAAGAATCATACCAATGATAAATCTCCACTTACGCAAATCAAACTAAGAACCCAAACAAAGCCCAGCAGTTAACTTGTTCAGAGTTTTATGTAAACAAGCCTCAAGGAAGAAATGTATATGGTCCACTCCTAAGAAAGTTTTCCTGAAAAGGATCAGAAATCCATCATTGACACAGCAGAAAAGTAAGAAAAGGAATGAGATCCAGATTTGATAAATTTAAAAGTCTGACATAACTGATGTTAAGGAATCAGCTTCCCATATATATGATCACAAGAAAATAGCAGATAATAGCAGAACATTAGATAAAGATTCTCCCAGTTCAAGAAAGCCTATTTAACTTATTAGATAAATCCTTCCCGTAACCCTTTGCTGATCGCAGGCACAAAGGTTTAGGCTGACATTTTAATTTTTGTGCGCAGGCTCTAAATAGAAGCCCAGATAACTGTTTCTGAGCTAATATTCCATGTCCTGGTCATGCAAATGGATATACGCATATCAATTATGCTATTGTGTTTGGAGTTAGGCAATGTTATTAAAGATAGGAAATAAGAGAAAAGTAAAAATAGACTACTTAAAGGCATTTTATACCAACAGCATTCATTATATCTTCCTGTACTTTTCTATATTTGCGAAACATCTTTGCTTTTGGTTATTCATTCATCACCTTTCCCCCTTTTAAATCATGCATAAGTCCTCAAGCATATAAAATATACATGGCAAACCGACGGACGACTGAAAATACTATCCTTTTCTTTAGGTACAATGTAACAAAATAGGGGTACGACTCCCTCGCAAGAAATTTCTTGGTTCGGATGTCTCTCTTGTCGTGGTCTAAACATAACGGTGTGTTTCTTGTCCCACGGTCGTCTTGTCGTCCACAGGAAAGACAAACGACTTACACAAACTTCAGAAGGACGAATTGATTTTAGCCCACTCCATAAGTGCTTCATTTTCCCCAAATGCCAGACTCTACAGCCCAGGATCTATTGCTGGCCTGTCCTCTATTAGGGAATAGTGATTGCCAAGACCTAATGCCTACATTAGCTTCCAGACCTCTTATATTTGCCTGTGGGCTTTTTGACATCACTGTTGTTTCCACTGCCCAGTCCCTGAAGAGAGATTTAAAGATGTTCTACAACCGGCTTCCGTTCCACCAGCTTGGCAATGTTGAAATAAAAATCAGAGTCTCTGCCTTAAGCCGCCGGTCTTGTGGTAACCTGTCCTACATGCAAAAAAGGAATGGAATACTTTGCTTCATTCCCTTTCCCTGTTCTTCCTAACGTGTGCAAAATATATGCTAGTGGTTTCAATGAGAAGAAGTTAATGGTCATGAATTCCATTGGTTAATTATGTTCTGTGTGAAGAGTTACCTTCTGTCTACAAATAGTCCTAGATTATAACGGTAATTGGAGCTGGGACTGTTGCTACGCATGGCGTTGTAAATGTAGCCCTGACACTTAACCACAGCAGTTGCAGCAATTCTGGTTGCTGTTGTTAAACAAGGATCACATGGCTCATTAAGTGAGGATCTCATATGTGATCGCAACTTCTGACTTCCTGCCAGCTTCCCAATTGACTTTCCTTGTGGGAAGCTGGCAGGAAATGCAGTTATGTGACCTCAGCTTGCTGCAATGTCTGGAACTCTAAGGAGTTGTTGTAAGTCTCCCGTGTTCAACGTCATCATAACTTTGAATGGTCACTTAAAAATTTGGTTGTAACCCAAGGACTACCTCTATTCTTCATCCAGTCAGTTTCATTGAGTGATTTCTAAGTCCCAATGTTTTGCATTCACACACAGATGCAGGTGGTCCTGGACTTACGACTACAATTGATGCCAAAATTTCTGTTGCTCACTGAGACAGTTGTTAGTGAGTTTTGGCCCATTTTATGATCTTTCTATCATAGTTGTTAAGTGAATCACTGCGGTTGTTCAGTTAGCAACACAGTTGTTAAGTGAATCTGGCTTTCCCCATTGACTTTGCTTTTCAGAAGATCACAAAAGGTGAGGACATGACCCCAGGACATTGCAACTGTCATAAATATGAGTCAATTGCCAAGCATCTGAATTTTGATCACGTGACCATTGTAAACGTGAAAAATGGTCATGTCACTTTTTTTCAGTCCCTTTATATATTTGAATAGTCATTAAATGTACTGTTGTAAGTCAAGGGCTACCTGTAGTACACACATACTATTTATGTATTCACTTTCAGAATAAGGGAAATTATTAAGCGAAGAGCAAGAAAAGAGTAAGATGAGAAAAATCTTTCTTTCTCCATTTTTTGTTAGCCCTGCTTGATTATGTCTCAGCCATGTTTCTTTACAGCTGCCCTTTTCCCAAGGCTGGGTAATTTCAAATATTACAGCCTTTTCTCATGAGGATGGAGATCGAGTCCCATTATTGTTTTATTCTTTTTCCAAGTCGACTGTATATTTCTTCAGACCTTCCACTCTGTGCTTGAACTTTGCTCCTGTATTGCACGTAAAACTCTTCCTTCTCATGTCAAACAAGTATCTAGTACCGTTAATTCCTTGCAAGCAAAAATATTGTTGCTATGTCATGAGTTGATAGGTTGTTTCCCGCCTGGACTATTGCAACGCTCTCTACATGGGGCTCCCCTTGAAGTGCACCTGGAGGCTCCAGCTAGTTCAGAATGCGGCCGCGCGGGGGATTTTGGGGGCCTCTAGATACTCCCATGTAACACCTCTCCTGCGCGAGCTGCACTGGCTGCCGGTGGCCTTCCGGGTGCGCTTCAAGGTGTTAGTAACAACTTTTAAAGCGCTCCATGGCAATGGACCTAGGTATTTGCAAGACCGCCTCCTANGTCAATGCCGGCTGGCGACCCCCAGGGGGAGAGCCTTCTCTGTGGCAGCTCCTGCCCTCTGGAATGACCTACCCCCCGACCTACGTACAACTACGGACCTGCGCCTCTTCCGCCGAGCCTTGAAAACCCATCTATTCCATGCGGCCGGCCTGGCGTAGTTTTGATTGGGCTTTGCTAGGGGTTTTATATGGGGTATTTTTAGAGCAGGCTTTTTATTCAATATTTATTGTGATTTTTATTATTGCCTGTTCACCACCCTGAGTCCCGTAAGGGAGATAGGGCGGTATATAAATTTAAATAATAAATAAATAAATAAATAAATAAATAAATAAATAAATAAGTACTCATAGGTACATATTTCGGGAAAGAGAAATGGCCCACGTGGCTCTCCTGAAGTGAGGTTAACAGGTCCCTGTGAGTCTGTATTGCACATGGTGTGACAGTTAATCCAGCCTTGATCTCAGTGGCTTGAGCCCCAAAATCCTTGAATTTTTTTTCTGAACAGCTGGACCGCTTGGAACTGGATCCATTCAGGCAGCAGCTGGAGGATCGTTGGAAAGATATTCGGAAACAGTTGAAGCAAAGGGTTCCACAAGATGAAGGTGATGAGGCTGCAGGGATCAGAAGGTAAGAGAGGCTAGAGAAGGACAGCTGTGGCATTAAGAAAACCCAGTAGAAGGACGGGCAGATGTTCAGTGGCAACAGCCGTCAGCCTTGACTTCCTATCCTGCACTTGGGGTATGGTTAAAAATAAGAAGAGAAAAATGCATGTATGTGGGTCTTTGCACACAGCCTGTAATCCCCGAGGCTGGGTGCTACGCATACATTGAGCCAAAACGTGTTTTACTTAAGGAGAATGTCAGTATGCTGAGTCATCATTTACATTTCCCTTCAGCATCTCCAAGTACCTGGCATATTTTGAGAAAATTAAAGGAAGCTCCCCATCTCCCACTCTCCCCCCCCTCCCGCCAACAACAACAAAAATAGAGCTTTTACAGAAAATGTAAATCAGTGTTTCTCAACCTTGGCAACTTTACGATGTGTGGACTTCAACTCCCAGAATTCTCCAGCTAGCGTTGCTAGCTGGAGAATTTTGGGAGTTGAAGTCTACACATCGTAAAGTTGCCAAGGTTGAGAAACACTGATGTAAATGTTTCCAAGCCACTGCCATGAGCATAACAGTATTTATGCTTCCCCTCCTCTGAAAAAAAAATCACCAGTTTGGGAGTTAGTGTTTGGAATTGATGTCAGTAGGAAACCTCAGGATTATAGGTAAGGTTTGGAAGTGGAAGAACCATCCCAGAATAAAATAGAGGCAACCATCTTCCATTCGGCGGTCAAGAAAAACTGCACAGATGCGTTCATATAATCAGGAATTGAGCTTGATTTGAAAGAGAATATATTTTTCTTTACTAACAAGAATGACCGCCGGACAGATGTTACCCTCAAACCTGGAGCTACTGAACACTTGCCTGAACCCTTGCTTGCTTTCCCAGACCTTCACCTTGTCAATACAGGTAGTCCTTGACTTAACGACCATTCTTTTAACAACCATCCAGAGTTATGAAGACACTGAAAAAAGCAACTTACGGTTGAGGTCCTTGCACTTAGTGACTTTCACACTGTGCCTTTGGTCACTTGACCGAAATTCAGTTGCTCGGCAGCCGCTATGTATTTATACATTTATGATGGTTGCAGCATCCCGGGCTCACGTGACGGCCGTTTGCGATCATCCCGGTGGGTTTCGGTCAAGCAAAGTCAATGAGGGAAAACCAGATTTGCTTAATGACCACCACAAAAAGGTTGCAAAATGGAGCATGACTCGTTTAACAACCGCATTGCTTAGCAACTAAAGTTCTGGTCCCAATTGCAATCGATCGTAAGCCGAGGATTACCTGCAGTCTTTTCCTTTAGAACAGCGGTTCTCAACCTATGGGTCGGGACCCCATTTGGGGTCGATCGACCATTTCACAGGGGTCGCCAAGCAAGGCTGTCCGCCATTTTTTTCCCTTTTCCGGCGGGTGCCTTACCTCCCTTGGGCTGGGCCAGCTGGTGGTCGGCCTGCTCCGTCTCTGCCGCTTGCCAGCTACGCCTCGGCCGGCGCAGGGGGCGGAACCACGCATGCGCGGCGCTCCCGGGCAGGGAAAGTCCTCGACTTACGACCGGTTGGGTAGTCGTCGACTTACGACCGGTTTAGTCCTCGACTTATGACCGGTTTAGTCCTCGACTTACGACCGGTTTAGTCCTCGACTTACAACCGGTTGGGGGTCGCGGCATTAAAAAGGTTGAGAACCACTGCTTTAGAATGGCAAGCTGCAACCACTCGGTTGCACCACCAGAGGGCACTTGCGCTTTGTGTGTGGACCCCCTGGCACAACTTACTGACAGGAAGAAAGGAGGGGAAAAGCTTCTCTGAATGTGATTACTTTAGCAGTGCAAATCAGCAATTCCTGCTACATACTGTTAGGTGATGATACGCCAAGCACTCCTTCGCTAAGGGTCCATTGTATAAGATGCAGCAGAATCTCTTTGTCTAGCTGTGTTGGCTTCCCAGGAGTTGCCCTGCCTGTCCCTGTGTCTTGCTTTGAAAATCCTTTAATTAAATCAGAGAGTGATTATGGGTGTGAAGGCATGAAGAAATAAGATGCAAACATTGGGGGAGGTGCTGGCTGCCAAGAAGCATCTTTCCCGTGGATTTTTGGTGTGTGTGTGTGTGTGTTTCTCTCGAGGACACTTTCCAGAGAAAAGGGGGTTGGCGAGTCTTCTGCTCAGATTTGTCTCATGCAGCATCGGGGACGGTGACATCCCAGCCCTGAGCACATCATGAGGGATTAGGTGAAGGTGTGTCATGTTTGGGATAGGAAGGTCCCCACAGCGATCTTATTTCTTCAGAAGGAACCTGCAGGGCGCAAGTGTGGTGGATACACTGGCCTTCAGTGAAAAGGAGGGGAAAAAGGAAGGAAAACACAAATGAAGGCATAACGCTGCAGGATCCAATCTGGGTCGGTCACCAGGACCGCAGGTTTGTCTTCCGAGCTTTCGGACTCGTGCTGGAGCCCCCATCCTCTCAGGGAACCTCTCTGTGTCAGCACAAGTCCGAAAGCTCAGAAGACGAAACCTCTGGTCCCGGTGACCCACCCAGATTGGATCCTGGAAAGAAAACGGATACGGACTAAGGATACCCAGTGCAGTGTGGAAGGAAAGACCACTCTTTGTTTTGTCAAAGCAAACTTTGAAAGTCCACAAGAACAGTTGCTTTCACACGAAGTTGTGAGAAGTCTATTATTAGACTGCCAGCCCAAAGGAATGATGGAAGCTGAAATCCAATCTTGAGGGGGTGAATACCAGGAGGGTGATGGGTGATGTATGTAGTTTGGCTATTTTGGAAATCTCTTTGCTCCCAAACAGTAAGATCTCAGAGCTAGGTCCAGGATAGGCAACCTGTAGCCTCTCCGAGGTTACTAAACTGGAACTCGCGCATCCTTCCCAAGTAACCATGCTGGGAGAGCGCCTGGGAATTGGTTAGTAGCATCTGACCAGTAGCATCTGGGCAGCTACAATTTCCCCAAATCTAGAGGAGATGATCAGTTTAACATGTGGTGCCCCTATCAGTTTTAATTATGTAGAAAGGGAGGTGGAAGAAAGCTAGTGATCCCGTTCACTGCCTTTGGGGCAGGAAGGAGAAAACACCACACACAGCTCTCCCATAAAGGATCTGTCTGGAGTTCTCCAAACTGAAAAAAAAATCCTCCTTGTTTTGGAGAGGCAAATTCTCTCTCTCTCCCTTTTGCCTTTTCTGGGCACAAACAAAACACCATACTTCAGATCCTCTTTCCATTCATGAAACACTTTTGCAATCTGCCTTAGTCAAATGTAAATTGGAGGATGCTATTTTATCTGCAGTTCACTGGCTGTGGAGATAAGATAGCCCTCAACGTATTGCTTAGCAAACATTTGAAGTTACAACAGACACCCCCTCCCTCCCCCAAAAAAGAACCTACGACCTGATTTTGAAATTCTGACATTGCTCCCCCTCATGGTCACAAGATTGTTTTTGGGCACTTGGCAACCTGCCCATATTTACAGCCATTTGCAGCACCCTACAGTCACATGACTACAATTTACAATATTTTTTTCCCCAGAAACCGGTGTTTGCTTCCAGTTGCCAGCAAAAACTGAGCTTTGACAAACAATGGGTTGGCTTTACAACTGCCGCATTTGCTTAACAACCACTGTCAAAAAGGCCGTAAAAATGGGTCCAGTCACATAGTGTCCCACTTTACAGCCATCATGACTTGTGAACATTATTGCCAGTTAGGGTCATAAGTGAAGGACTTCCTGTACAATGTCTAGATCAGGGGTAGGCAACCTTGGCTCTTTTATGACTCGTGGACTTCAACTCCCAGAATTCCTCAAGAATTCTGGGAGTTGAAGTCCACGAGTCATAAAAGAGCCAAGATTGCCTACCCCTGGTCTAGATTTTTCCCTCCTTTCTGGGACATCTTTTATTCTCCCTCATAGTAACTGTATTTACCCATGGTGCACAGCCTGAGCCTCTAATACCATATGTCCTCCCTCTAAAGTCTTGTTGTGGTCCCCCGACCCCTTTCAACAATTACTATTGCAATTTTTAAGATGGCAAGGGGAGGAATTATTAAATGCATAGAGAGTAATCTCATTAACTGCATCTAACTAATTTTATAAAATATAATTTAAGTCTAATGTAGCTCTTGTTCCAGTCCTGCCTATTACTTTGTCTTGCCCTCTCCTCTTTGAATCTGCTGCAATTCCTGATACTGCAGTAAATTCAGAGTTTGACACTCCCTAGGGGCATTTTTAACATATAGTTGGTGAGAATTTCCACTATGCTTTCATGAATTTCCATCCACTGAACTCTGAATCCTTGCCCAATGAATGTTTTGTTTTTCTTGGCTTCTTTAAAGTTGAATTGTTTGTTGTGGAAATAAATACTCAATTTAACGGGTATGTTAAAAATGCCTCTGCGTGATATAAACATGCCAGGTTGCGTTTATCCCCCGCTCTGTGGCCCTCTAGTTTAAAAAAAGAAGCATGGTCCTGTTGTTGCCAAACATATCTTTTACCCCCTACTCCAGCCATTCCCCCCTCTGATTTGTTGTTTCTTTTGTCTTCTCAATCAGGAGACTCCTGGCTCACTTTCACTGCATTTCTTGTGACCGACCCTTGGAGATGGTGGTGCCTGGCCCGTAAGTCTTTGCTTGAAGCTTTCAAATCAGATCAGTAATCAGTCTGCTTAGATCAGTGATGGCGAACCTTTTAGAGACCGAGTGCCAAACTGCAACCCAAAACCCACTTATGCATCGTCAGGTGCCGGGTGGGTGTGGCCCATTGGGTGGGTGTGGCCCATTGGGTGGGCGTGGCCCATTGGGTGGGCGTGGCTGTGGTGGTAATGGCAGACTGAGTGGGACTAAAAAGTTCAATCAATCAATTCCAACTTTGCAAGATTTTGTTTTCCCACGAGAAGTTGAAATTGACTGATTGATTGAACCCTTTTTATTTTTTTTGCACACGGCGGCGGAGGCCTAAAGTGAAAAGGTTTTATAAAACCCAGCTGAAGGCCTAGGACTGGGGCGACAGCGCGCGTGCCCACAGAGAGGGCTCTGAGTGCCACCTCTGGCACCCATGCCATAGGTTCGCCACCACTGGCTTAGATGCAGGTATAGGAACACCTCTGCTAGGCTGTAGATTCAGCCATCAGCTATTCAGCGAGTTGCTGCCTATGTCCATCTATCTGCTGAGAAGCTGGCCTTTTCCTTCGTTAATAAAATGCTGGCAAGGTGTTAGGCCAGGAGCAGCTGCCCTCTCCTCTTTCACTTGTTCCGCATCCTCCCTTTTTTATCCTGTCTGCATATTATCTTGACAGGCGAATTACGACTCTCCCAGCTGTTCCAGGTTTACCTGCTCATCAATCCCTCCGGCCGTATATGGTTTATGAATTGGAACAAATCAGGCAACTGAACCGCAAGTAAAATGCAGATAGGAGCTTCTGTGTTTTCTTCTCTTGCCGTTTCTTTATCTGACTTTTCTGTATTCAGGAGCTGAGGGAGATAGAGACCTGGAGTAGGAATCCATAGGGAGGAATGAATATATAAAGCACAAAGTATCCATCTAGTTTGAATGTTATTCTTGGGATGCAACCTTCGTTATGTACAGGTAGTCCTCAACTTAACAATCATAGTTGAGGCCAGAACGTCTGTTGCTAAGTGATACGATCATTAAGTGAGTCATCACATGCCCATACCCAATTTTAGGACTGATTGCTTAAAGATAAAAGTTTCCCCTATTCAGTCGTATCCAACTCCAGAGGGCGGTGTCCATCTCTGTTTCTTAGCCAAGAGAGCCAGTGTCGTCCGAATACAATTTCTGTGGCCATGTGGCCGGCATGGCTATATGCCAAAGGAACACTGTTATCTTCCCACCGAAGTGGTACCTATTAATCTACTCACATTTCCATGCTTTTGAACCACTAGGTGGGCAGAAGCTGCGGCAAGTAATGGGAGTTTATTCCGTTGTGTAGTGCTCGGGTCTCAAACTCGGCCTGTCAGCTCTGCAGCTGACAAAAGTCAACATCTTTAACCACCGAGCCATCATGTCTCCTAGATTGCTTAAACAGTCATTAAGCAAATCTGGCTTCCCCCATTGATTTGGCTTGTTGGAAACTGGCTGGGAAGGTTGCAAATGTGTTCGTGTGTCCCCAGTGTACTATGACCATCACAAATATAAGCCAGTTGCCAAGCACCCAAATTGCAATATCAGGATGCTGTGATGGCTGTAAGAGTAGGACCGGTCACAAGGCACCCTTTTCAGCACCATCGTAACTTCAAACAATTGTGAAACGAATAATTGTAAATCAAGGACTACCTGTGGTGAAAATTGAAATGTTTTCTGTTATTGCTGTAAAACTTTCAACGGCAGTGGAGAAAATGGGAAGTGAACATCTTGTTTCAAAACGTCTCTTCATTTCTTATATCTGTAAAAGTCCCTTCCAAAAACCTGTGGTTGGACTATATATATATGGACACACCCAGGGATCATATTTTTAAGATATCTCTACAGTAGTGGCCAAAATTGTGGAAACTTTCTTGGGAAAGTGTACAGTAGTAATGCCACCTTTGGTTAAGTTTCCACCAATTTTTCTTCTAATTTCTTTATAACTGTAGCCTTGTTCACTTAATAATACTATTTTACATCGCTTTCTGGGCAACCAGTCAACTCTTTGCACCATTACTTTAATTTTATTACATTTTACAAGCTCACTAAATGAAAGAACACAAAAAAACCCAACCAACTTGATAGCGATCACATAACACACTGACAAATGTCCTCCTCTCAGCTTCAATTACATGACATCCATAACTGAATCCTACTGTGATCTGATTGGCTCATTGCCAAAACAAGATGATGCCTGATTGGCTCTCTAAACACTCACGCTCATTGGCTACAATCAGATGAAGGAAAGCTACCTAATATCAACCTAAGCAAGTTGTGCTTCCTTTTTCTGGTTATTTGGCTATAACTTTTCATAGAATACAGTATAGATAATTGAACAGACTTTGTTGCATTACATTCTTGATTAAATTATCTTTCCATTGATATATAATTTTATGGTATTATTCCCCCAAAAAAGTGGTGTTATTGGCCATCAAACCTCAAAAATACACTTTTCCCAAAAGGTTTCCACAATTTTGGCCACTACTGTATCTTTTAATTTTGTTTCAATCAGTAGCTATGGAATTTTTTAAAAAACCCAGTGATGTATCTGTCTCAGAGTGTGCCAGTGCCTTAGCCCTCTTGATTCCCCTTCCCTGAGAATTAGGGAATACATCTTCCCATTGGCGCTTATTTACTTGTTGTGACTTGTGTGCACATGGGAGGCGGGGTGAGGGGCCACATGGTATGTGTGAGAATTCAAAGCGGGTATATGAATGGGGAGGTATGTGGTCCCCAGAAAGTTACCTATGACAAATGCATTCTGCACCACTGAGTAGGTTCTTTCAGTACTGCCTGTTGTGTGAATGCTAGCAAATGATGTTGGGTGCAAGTGCCTGGCTTAACAGCATGTTTCTCCCCCCCTTCCCCCTTCCCCTTCTTTGGCTATTGCTGTCTCCTTGCTCTGGCATTGTGCTGCATCCAATTCTCCTCTTCCCACCTCTTCCTTGTCATAGCAATTTGAAATTAGGACCGGGTGTTCGTTATGATGCCCTGGAGAAGAGTGCTAGTCTGAACAAGTTACGCCGCATCCATTCCAAGATGCTCATGGACATACAAAAGGTGCAGAGTCATTATGGCGGAGGTGCCAGGGTCAACGCTCAGATGATCAGAGAAGCCCTGCAGTCCCAGTATCTTGGCTCAAGCCCTTTTGGCAAACGGTAGGGCTTGTGGGATAAAGCAAACTGTTCATCTCGCCAGACAGAAATATAGAAAGCAAAGCTGGGCTCTGATCAATCTCTCATCCTGGTGCTTCATTCAGGAAAACATGAGATCAGAGGGGTTCTGCACTGCCTTTCCTTAGCACTGTTATGGCAAACAATAGATTGAGCATTACTGCTCATTTCTGCCTACTTATAGCCAGTCATGCCTCACTCCCATCCCAAACTTACCAGGAAAGCAGAGAGGGCAGAAAATAATGGAAGCAGCACATTGGAAAGGGAATAATAACTAAAAAGAATTAAAAGGAGGAGGAGGAGGAGGATGTTTCTCTCAGCGAGCTCTGCATATCCCAATGGACACAGCATTTGTCCTATCAACCTGGGTATTGACACCAGGTCTGGAACAAATCAAATTATAGGCCAAGACCTGGACACAACAAGAGACCACCTTCAATCTAGAGCTAACCAATGCATTTAATCAGATTCATATGTGGTATTTTGGAATATATGAATGTTTGTGACTCATTAAAGCAGCTATGTCCTTTTCCAGTAGTTATCCAGTCCTTTAAAAAAAAACATAGATGCTTTAATGAATTACTATGCAGCATTCATGTATTCCAGAAGATTTCTTCTGAATGAATTTAGAAGTATTGTGCAACGCTCATCTGCCTTAATATATCTATTAACTGTAATGCTGGCTAAAGAGTATATGATAACCCAGGTCCCATGAACTGATGGTGCCACCTTCTGCAATGCAAATATTTGCATTTTTAGAATGATTTAAACAGCAGTCCCCAACCTTTCCAGCTCTGAGGACCGGCAGTGGCGGCAGCGGTGGTGGTGTGGGGGGGAGGGGATGGTTTCGTGCATGCACCTGCCACTTGCACAAATAAGAGTTTTGCGTGCTCATCTGCCGTTTGTGCGGCCCAGTTCCCAATGGGCCATGGCCTGGTACTGACAAGGGGTTGGGGACCCCTGATTTAGAAGGAGGGGACAGTAGTTCCTTGGCTTTAGCTTAAAGCTCAATTGATTACTGTATCCAAGAAATAGCGACTTTTTACTCAGACCTTGGAATCAGGCCCCTATTTAAATTTGTATTCAGGCAACTGTGTAAAATTGTTCGAGTGAGGAAAGATTTGCAAAAGGAAGCTATAAGCAATGACAATTTCCGGAATTTGAAGGGAAGGATTTATTTGCTGAGAAGATTCTCTACTCCCTTTTACATACTGTACACTGCTATACAGTGAAGGAGCTTCCATTAGCAAATTTATCTCTACTTGTATGTACATCATCTCAGTTTATATATATATTCCTTATGTATGCTTGGATCCTGAAATTAGCAGGAAATATTTACATAAATTTCTTCCATGTAGGAATTTTGCCATACCCTAAAGCAATCTTTTCATGTGCTTCTTTTAAAATTGTGTAGGTTTGTAATCAGACAGTGAAGAATTTTAGTGGTTGGGCTTGCTGCTTGGGTAATCATTTGCAATCCCAAAACAGGCTCAGAACTTCACAGATTTGCTAAACAAGTCAGACTTGATTGTTATCATTTTACAATATATTCAGCGATGTCTATAAAGTGGCTCCTATACATGCAAATCCAAATCTGAAAATAATGTCCAAAGTAGTTTAGGGTTAAGTCTGGTTCAGACTAGACTTCTTGTCTATAGTGAGATACAAGCATTTTGTAATCAAATTTCTTATTATCCAACTTTGCAATTTAGCTTGCATTTCTGCTTTGCCTTAATATTAGTTTAACCCTGCTACAGCTGCCTGTCTTGTTTCCCTACTTGAAATTCTACTCTCTGTTTAGGAAACTGCTTTCCAGAAGTGGCTTTGTGAGAATAACTTTCTGTTTGTTCCATATGTTTTATGTGCCTTGTTACTTTCCTGTCCTCCAAGGCAGAGGCGAGGAACATGATGCTCAAGCAGGCTGCTGCTATGTTCTGTACCAAGTGTTTCAGTGAATCTGTTCCCAGGGTTTCTGTGGAGAAGCTTAATGTGTCTTTAGGAAAAGGGCTGGGCCGAAAGGGAGTCCTATATAATCTGATTAGCAAGCAGTAAATGGGTGGACTGGGCCAGGAGAGAAAGAGTGAGGTGGTAGAGACTGGGACTGTGTCTCTGTTGAGAGGGCCAAGCTCTGAAACAGCCAACTTGTGACTTGAAGAAAGCAAATGGGGTCATCCATCCATTTTTCCAGCAATGGGCTCCTCTGCAAAACCTCACAGACCTTATAATTAAAACTAGCTGCTATTTCACATCTTCTTATGCGAGAACAAAAATACCATGTTGCAAGAATGAAGCCGTTTTTTAAATATTATTTGGGTTTTACTATCCATTTTTTGCATTGTGGAAGATCTAGCAGCATTCTAGACACTGTGGCACCTCTGATGCCATAATGGGAGGATATGAGAAAGATGACCTATGGAGACATTTGGATAATGTTCTTGCTGTGAAGAATGAAAATCTAAAAGTCTGATTCTCTAATCCCCATCTTTTTAACAGACTCCAAGTTGGGAGTCGCCAATGATCCATTTTTCCCCCACAAAGACTTTCCTTTTCACTTCTATAGAGGGCAAACATGGGTTATGCTTTGTTGACAAGCATAGCAGAGCCTGCTCAGAAACAACACTAACCTAAACTCTGTGTCTTATTTCCTTTTTCTGCTGACCTGGTCTTATTTCTTAGGACCACAAAATACAATTTATTGTTTCACTACCACCAGCTTTGTTAGGATTGTTTCTCATGGTCATATAGGATCAGTTTGAGACTTCTACATGCCCCAGGCTTGGGGCAGGACCTCTCATCACATCACTCATGAGACCAAATAGGCTTCAAATCTTACGCTAGAGCTGCATGGCTGAGAGAATTGACCATATAATCTACAGCAGATGACCAGGCTGAATCCGAGGGAGGGAGTTGAGCACGTCATCAGTCTAGAGTCCCTTTGTGCTCACAAGAGATCTAAGTCCAGCCCACCTTGAATTCAGTTGACTCCTATGTATCGCCAATTTGCTTTGGCTGTTAGTAATTCAGATTTTTGTAGAGTATTGGCATGCAATAAACCTGTATTCATTTGAACCGCCTTGACTCCTGACTTCCTGTCCTTGACATAATGCTCAGGATCTTTCTTGCCATAGAGGCTTGCCTTAACTCAAGGGCAGAGTGAACACGATCTGTGCTTCAGATCTGAGATATTGAAGAAGCAAAGCAGCGTGCTAGCTTTTCAGGCTGGAAGGCAGATTTGGAATTTTCAAAGTTAACAAGGACAGGCTTAAAATATGGCTGCTGTGCGAGGTGCATTTAAAAAAGACTGGTTGAGCAAAGCTATTCTCCCAAATGCCATTTACCCGAACATAAACTGATGAGGTGATTTCTGCCATTTCCTCACACAGAGACACACATTCTCTCTCCCCTCCCCAATGCTTGGGTCTTCTTCTTCTTCTCTTCTGGGCAGGTGGGCATACTTTCAGTGGAGCAGTGGAAAGTAACCACTCATTGTTATTATTATTGTTATTATTTCCTAAGAGTGCCTTTGTGGAGTCCCTGTGTAGAACATCATTGTAAATGATGCTCAGACTAACCCTTTGCAACATGTCAGCTGACCTTCCTTCCTTTTCCTGTTGAAAGAGGACACTTCTAATATCTGGTCCCATCCTGGAAGGCTGAGTTGCAGACAACGGTGACTTTCTCCCAACAGAACACTTGAGCTATTAATCCTGCCCAATGGGGTCCTCCCTTCCCTAGGATATTGGTGATCATTTTATCAACATTAAGAAAGAGTGATTACTATCTCATTGCCCACTAAATACCTTTTGAGGAAGCCACTTTGGACCAGGAATTCTCTTATAATATCACCTGAAGCCTAGGACTATTTTTAAAATCACTTTCTCCCTTTTGGGGATATGAAAAGTAGGAATGAGGCTAGAAGTTCCTCAGACATGCTATTCTTTTTTTCTATTGCTAATTTATCCTTACCCCTATTCCTCCCGAAAAGGTGCAAATTTTATCTGATAATGTTTGAATTTTAGCCACAATGTTCAGCTGTTGTGGGGAACAAGGGAGGTTTGAAAGGTGGAAATAGGAGCAGATTGCCACCCAGAGACCCTTCTTTCATTCTAACCCTTGCTGTGAGCCTGAAAAATTGCTTTGCTGAAAATCAGTCATTTTGCTATCCTAAGCTAAGAGGTAGTGGATGTCCACATGGCAGGATGTAAGTGTGCTGCCCTTTTATGCCATCTGGTTCACCAGATTAATCCAGTTGCTTGGTTTACAATACAATGAACCCCAAAAAAGTAAACATTCATACTGGCCACTGAGCCAAGATCACACTTTAGCTCATGCCACCACAGAAAAGTCATGCCAGATCCTGAACTTGGTTGAGTCCCAATTCTTAATTGCAATGCTTCCCCTGCCCTCCCTTCGGCTGCTAATGTCCCGAAATGAATGTAATCCTTCAGAAACAAAGTGGTTGTTCTTATGGATTTTCTGGGATCACGGGGTCGCCGGACTTTGCCTCGTGTGGATTATGGGCCCTTGCCTCTTTACAGGGAGAGACTTCCAGAGATGGCTGACTTCAGCTACATGAGCGTACCTCGACATTGTGGAGGCAGCCATACCCTCACCCATCCATTCAGACGCTACGTGAAACTGCAACAGTTCAACCAGGGTACGCCCTCTGTCCAGCCAGATGAAAACACCATGCTGGCAATGATGAAGGTAACGAGGAGCCAGGTGGAGAGGGAGTAGGAGAGGGTGGATGGACATTGGCACGGGTCTAGAGCGGGCCAACCGCATTTGAAGCCTAAAGTCTCGGCACTGCCTTTCACTGCTTTGCATGATCTGCCCTCCAAAAGGGTAAGGGCAAGGAACTCTACTAAAGAGAAGAGGTAAATACAGGTAGTCCTTGACTTACGACCACAACCGAGCCCAACATTTGTTATGTGAGTTTTGCCCCATTTGTCGACTTTTCTGGCCACAGTTGTGAAGTGAATCATTGCATTCGTTAAGTTAATAATGCGGTTGTTAAGTGAATCTGGCTTCCCCATTGACTTTGCTTGTCAGAAGGTCACAAAAGGTGATCACGTGACCCCGGGACACTACAACTGTTGTAAATACGAGTCGGTTGCCAAGAGTCTGAATGTTGATCATGTGACCATGAGGACGTTGCAATGATGGTAAGTGTGAAAAATGGCCCTAAGTCCCTTTTTTCAGTCAGTTCTGCTGTAACATTGAGCGGTCACTAAACGATTGTAAGTCAAGGACTACCTGTAGTACTGTACAGGTTTGACATTTTGTCATTTAGTGCCCGAGAGGTTTTCCTTCCTGAGGTGTTCATTCCATGAGCAGGATGCTACCTGTTTGCAGTTATTTGTAAAGTTTTGGTGCACCTGAGGAAGAGTCTGGTATTCATCTAGGACAGTGATGGCGAACCTTTTAGAGACCGAGTGCCCAAACTGCAACCCAAAACTCATTTATGCATCGTCGGGTGCCGGGTGGGTATGGCCATTGGCTGGGTGTGGCCCATTGGGTGGGTGTGGCTGCAGTGGTAACGGCAGACTGGGTGGGACTAAAAAGTTCAATCAATCAATTCCAACTTTGCAAGATCTTTTTTTTTCCCCGCAAGAAGTTGAAATTGACTGATTGATTGAACCTTTATTTTTGCACACGGCGTCGGAGGCCTAAAGCGAAAAGGTTTTATAAAACCCAGCTGAAGGCCTAGGACTGGGGCGACGGCGCGCGTGCCCACAGAGAGGGCTCTGAGTGCCGCTTCTGGCACCCGTGCCATAGGTTCGCCACCACTGATCTAGGAAACTGGTAGTTTTCCAGATGTTGCTGAAGTACAGTTCCTAGCAATATTAGTCTGGCTTGTCAATGGAGACAGATGTTGAGAGTTGTAATTCAGCAATATAGAGAAGATAGTAGTCTTCCCAGTCCTTGCCTAATGTAAGAAAAACCCAGCAAGGTTAGACCACAGGTGTTATTTGTCCATTGTTTATGTTCTTACAGTGCTTCAGGATGGGAGCCATATGAATCTTATCTTTATTAAGCACGGAATCTGCCTCTTTTGTAGCAATTGTAGCCTGGTTCCACCAGCATCTCCCTCAAGACCTCATTCCTATGTAGATACGGTCTGGATCAACTGCAGTAGGGTATATAGGATATTGTGAACTGTGCTGCATTGTGTATAGGCTACTTTGTCGTTTTCCGTTTTTACCGATGGTTGAATGGAGACCTAGTCATACTTATGCTAAGCCCATTAAAAGCAATATAGTTTAGCTAGTCGATATTAATGCCTCTGCTTTAAATATGACAAAGTTTGCCTTTTCCTAAAGGATCTTAAATTGGGCGGTTTTATACTGTAATGGAAGCAGATGCTCTCTGCAGGTTGAAGAAATCCAAAGTCTGCTGCAGATGATCTGAAACAGAAATCTCTGACTCTTGTTCTATCCTTCCTTACGATTGGAGACATTTTCTTTTCCCTGAGAATTGGGGCCTCATTATCAGATACTTTTCTAAAAGGTTTTGCTAGCTTCTTTTGGCAAAATCAGAATAGGTCTATTTCAGGAGTTTATTTCAAGATTCTTCAGCTTTTTTTGTTTGTTTGTTTCTATGTTAGTGGGAGGAGAGGAAGGGGCAGAACAGGATAAGATTCTTTTTAGAAAAACTGAACGTGAACAACCCCAGTCTGCAGTACTTAAAGTAGATGAATACATGAACAGGAAATTACCAAGGCTTAATATTTGGGCAGCAGTGAGAAATGCAATCCAGGGTCAGCCAAATATTTGATCAGACACACTTGTCAGTCCTTCACAACAATCTCTGACTTTATTTAAGCACTTGGAGAAGAAAGAGTATAATGCTTTTCTGAATAACAGCGATAACATCACCCTTTTTTTTAAGAGTCTCCCCTTTCATGCTCTTAACTTCAAGATTGGTGGCTTAGTATTGTCTTTGAGATAATGGCTATATTTTGCTACCTCTCTCTGAGATTTCCATAATATAAAAGCAACTGAAGAACAAAAGTCTTTTTTGACCACATGTCCCTCTGTAATGTCTTTTTATTCTCCTCCGTTAGCAGAGATGCGATAACACAATTTGGCCATTTTTGCTAGAGTCACCCATGCTAATACAAGTCCATTGTTCTGACTCCAATCATGCTAGATGCAACTGAAAACCTTCCCATCTGGTGTAACTCTGGCGTGTATGTGCACATGTGCAATACGACTACAACTCCTACAACCATTCCCCCATGATTGTGTCAGCTAGAGATGAAGGGAAATATAATTTAACAATTCTGAGGGAGGTTGCAGATTGGAAAAAGCCCAAATTGAATATACTGGGTGGTTTCCTGATTATAGCCCCCCCCCCTGTATTTTTGTGACCCTACGCAACATCCACTTACCTTACATGCCAGGCAGCATCCCATTGTAGGGTATTACGTTTTTACTCCCAAGTGAAAATGGGGAAAGTTAAGTCAGCTATTGTCTGGGGAGGACTCTGTTGGATGAGAAAGGATGGAAAGAAGGCACTTTAGGATTGCGGAGATGGAAATCTCAGCAGCACAACTTGGGGCAAAGTTATTGTTCCTACAACTGGAACTGCAATATCTCCTTTGAAGAGAGTTCTGAATTTAATCAGTTTGGCAGAAACTCCCAGTGTTGTCTGGGACATCCCAAGATTGTGACTGGCACATCCTTTGTGTGTGGAAGGAGCTAATCACACAATAGGATCCTCAGGTTAATAAGAGAACAGGGGATCAGCCTGCTTAATTATGCTCAGAAACAAAATTGGACCGCAATGAGTTGAAAGCTTCAATACGTTCAAATAGTTTCTAAGCCACATTTCTTTGATTTCTATGTTTGCTCCTGCCCTGCTCCCACACAAGTAGGGTCCCCAATAGTAGCATGTATCTTTTTACTGCAAGGGGCAGAAATCCTCACTGGTTTCACTCTGTATAGTTCAATAGAATTGGATTTCTGAATGGCAGTCGAGAGTCCTGACGTGCCTTTTCCAATTTTCCAGCACTGGAAATGAGGCATTGTGCAGCAGATGGGAGGTGACAACAATTAGGGACAAGACAGGTATAGCTACCTGTGAATTTTTAAAAAGGAAAAGATCCAATTTCTAAGCTCCAGTGGTTTGTCCAGTTACCACAGTGGGGTTTTCAAGCTCATTCTTCAGCTTTACGAGTAAAACCCTTGTAAAAAGTTGTTAACCTTTAGCAAGGTTCAGCTGAAATTTCTTCTGTGTTTGCATTTACTTCCAGCACGAAGAAGTAGATATACTGGGTCTTGATGGTCATATTTACAAAGGACGTATGGACACACATCTTCCATCAATAACCGGAAAGGAATGTGAGTTTTGTGTTCTGTTTGCAGATGCTCCGAATAGACCTAGTAAATTCTTTCTCTTTATCCTTTATAATTCCATTTTGAAGTATTTTGACACTGTACCTTTTTGTCAAGTTATTGTCTATGGCAGTATCCCCAACTTGGACCCTTTTGGTTCCCAAACTTTGTAGACAGCACGACTTCAAGTGAGAAATTATGGAAGTTGTAATTAAATTAGGAGGGATCCAGGTGGAAGAAGGCCAACCTATAGAATAGACCAGGGGTAGGCAACCTTGGCTCTTTTATGACTCGTGGACTTCAACTCCCAGAATTCCTGAGCCAGCCATGCTGAGGGGAAAGGGAGAGGTTTCCAAGCTGAGCCATGCTGGCTCAGGAATTCTGGGAGTTGAAGTCCACGAGTCATAAAAGAGCCAAGGTTGCCTACCCCTGGAATAGACAGACCTCTTTGTTTGTTCTGGTGGGGAATTGACCCCGAGAAACATACAGCAATTTCCCAGGTGGGCCTCTTGACTTCTTGGAATTGCTATGGGACTTTACTTTCATATGTGTCCAAAACATTGATGCCTCTCCTCACACTTCTCTTATCAGCTGTCCCGAGAACAAGAAGCAAGGTCATTCGGTCTTCCTCACAAAGGCATCACCCCATGTTCAGTGACATGGCCACCCTCCCAGCTCGCCCACAGACTGCAAAAGTGTCGGTGGGCGGCACCTCAGGTACGTTAACAATCCTGAATCAAGCTCGATTAGAAATGGAAGTGATGCCTGAAGCCCACCTTGGGAACGCTTGGAGAGTATTTCCTTCAATTTTCTATGAAATAATTGCTGAGAAAAACAGAGCATCGATGATGCTCAAATGAAGTTTCTGAGAGGTGGTCTGTATTCAATTTTATCACTGTAGGATGAGCATTGTGCAGATAACACTTGCCGAGGATTCCAAACCACCTGTTCCTTTCTTGACCGAACTCCACAAGATTTCCTTGAGAAAAGCAAAGAGCTATTGAATTAGCGACCTTTCATAAAGTTAAAAGTTTTGAACAATGAGGCAGTGGTAATAGCCAGGTAAAACTGGGCATTTGTGAAATCTCCCTTTCAGTCCTTGCTTTAAAAAAAAAAAAAGTAAGCTGTGATGCTTGAAGTATTGAAATCTGGTACTTTTTTTTTTGTTAGGGCTTCACTTAGCTTAGTAATATATTAGCCAAACTGCAACTTTCTCTTTTGCAGCTTTCACTGGTATGTTTATGTTCTTCCATTTCCCATGAGAGATGAGGTTAGTTTCCCAGGAAACTGCCAGATCCTGCTTAAGAATTGAGCCTCTGCCTTTCTGCAGACACCCGGTAACAGGAACCCCTCTTTCTGTCTGTGATTCTTATAGGCGGTGGATCTCCAAGGCAGGAAAGCCTTCAGGACATCATCTCTTTTAGTAAAGAGTCATTTATGGGCCGGACAGACACAAAACATACTTTCCCAACCTTGCTCTGACCTTCCAACTCTGTTGGACTGCAATAACTGCTTTGTCCCAAAGCTTCAAAACTGAAGATAATAGGAGCTGTAATCCAGTACTGGTAGAGGATATGATTTTGTGAAAGGTTGCTGTTTTAAAAAACGTTTTTTTAAAAAAATAGGAATGAAACTGGTAGTTAAGAACTGATGTGCAGATCCACGCCTGGTAGGCCTTTTATTGTTTTTGTGGGAAAACTCTTCCCAGCTGAGTGATTCTAGCTTTCTTTGCAGTCTTCATGGCCACTAATCCATCTGTCCATTATAGAGAATTCTCCTTGGAGCACTGAGGTGCTGAGTGGTCACATCTGAGATGCAAATGCAAACTCAAGTTATAAAGAATCACACTGCAGCAGCCTGGTTGAAGGATCTTTCCAGAATTTATGGTGCTGCTTTGCATCATTCCAAAATGAAGCTTACTTACCCAGTGGCTAATGTAGGAAAAGTACAGAACCTACCAGTGAAGTGTGTGTTCACCTTGCCCAGACAAGAAAGGGAAAAAAATATTACAAATGAGGGCAAATATATGTGTCTCTGGGTAATGTTGCAGGCTCCAATCTGGGTCGGTCACTGGGACCAGAGGTGTACTCTTCCGAGCTTTCAGACGTGTGCTGGAGCCCATCCTCAGGGAACTTCTCTCTAATGGAATAGGGCAGTGGTGGCGAACCTATGGCACGGGTGCCAGAGGCGGCACTCGGAGCCCTCTCTGTGGGCACACGCGTCGTCGCCCCAGTCCTAGGCCTTCAGCTGGGTTTTATAAAACCTTTTCGCTTTAGGCCTCCGCCGCCGTGTGCAAAAAAAAAAAAAAGGTTCAATCAGTCATTTTCAACTTCTTGCGGGAAAAAAAAGATCTTGCAAAATTGGAATTGATTCATTGAACTTTTTAGTCCCATCCAGTCTGCCGTTACCATGGCAGCCACACCCACCCAATTGACCACACCCACCCAATGGGCCACACCCACCCAGCACTCGACGATGCATAAGTGGTTTTGGATTGCAGTTTGGGCACTCAGTCTCTAAAAGACTGAGTGCCCAAATATTCCAGTAGAGAGCGACCCAGTGACTGACTCGGAAAATTTATTCCCTGCAGTAAGTTTCAAGCATGGCACCATTCATGCTCCCTTATTATTATTAACTGAATTCAAGAAAGGTCTGGTAGCAGAGTACAGGTTAAGCATGGGCTGATTCACACATAAGCACATCTGTAGATTAATAGATCTCTGATATAATCTTTTCCAATAAGATGTCCTCCAGATGTTTAGATTACTCTCCCAATATGGCAGCAGTCATCCAACTCATCTGGAGGAGCAGATGGGCAATGCTTCTGGAACATATGAAGCACATACATGTTATCTCGAATAGAAAGAGGGAAAATAAGCATGCTGGTTGAGAAACCTGGATTTCTATAGTGTGCACTCAAGAGGTTAAAAATCCAACACAAGTTTACTTCTCAGATGTTACCTCATATAAAACATTACATTACAGTGTAAAACAGATCTTACTGTATAAGTAGATGTTGTTTTTATAAATACAGCATTTGGGAAATAGGACTGTCACAGAGCAGACGAAACACGATCTGACTGTCATTTGGGCTCATTCACGTTACTTGGTTTGGTCATGCTAGAAAGGGCAGAATGCAGCTTCCTCACAGAACATCTCAGCTCTTTCTGAGAACTATATCAGGCATGAATGTCACAAGGCTTTCAACTTTGGTGCATCTTTTAAATGGCATCCTCCAAAAGATGTGTTGCAAGAGAAGGTGACAGAAACTGCAGGTGTACAGAGGCCCACAAAATGAAATTGACAAGTATTTCTGACATCTGATCCATGTTTTAATAGACAATAATATTAAAACTACGAGATGAATGGCAGTGAAGCTTAATGTAACCCTACACAAAAAACCTTTGCTATGGAAAATACACAGCTAAAAAGGATTATGCTAGTCTCCGTCTTACAACCACAACTGGGATCAGAATCTCAATTGTTGAGCAAGATGTCCATGTGATCACATCACTTGATGACTGCCATCCCAGCTCTCCCAGTTGTGGTCATTAAGTAGACAAAGAGAAAGAGCTGTCTGCCTAAGGAGGGCAGGCAGTTCCCCTCCTGTGGTAGATCCAAGCCTTGGTTCTGCAACCCTTCAGAGGAGTTCCCTTCTCCTCACGCACAGAAGGGAACACATTCCCTGGCCTGGGGAAACCAAATGGAGATATTTACAATCCCCATTTTGTTTCTCCACCCCAGTGCACTGTTTCTTCTTTCCTCCATGTGCAGAAGGGAATTCGTGCACTGGGCTGGAGAAACGAACTGGAGATCGTGAAGAACACTGCTTTGTTTCTTCAGCCCAATGCATGAGTTACTGTCTCCTCCTCATGTAAAAGGGAATTCTTGTGCAGGGCTGGAGAAATTAAATGGGGATCTTTATAATCTTTACCTCAGGTCCTTTCCCTTCTGTGCGCAGGTGATCAGGTGTCCGTGGGGACGTTGCAGTGGTGGTTAAGTGCAAGGATAGGTCATAAGTCACTTTTTTCAGTGGCATTGTAAACTTCGAATGGTTGCTAAACAAACGGCTGTAAGTCAAGGACTACCTGTGCAGTTCACAGATTCTCACCAGGGAGAATCACTTGGTCAAAAATATTGGCAGAAAAGGAGGCCTGATTCATGTTCCATTTAATTGGTAACCAGCCTTCCTTCTTGCCCGATTTAAGTCCAAGCTAAATCTGATGTTTTCCTTTGACCAAGTACACACTATAGCACGGGTAGGCAACCTTGGCTCTTTTATGACTCGTGGACTTCAACTTCCAGAATTCCTGAGCCAGCATGGCTCAGTTTGGAAACCTTTCCCTTTCCCCTCAGCATGGCTGGCTCAGGAATTCTGGGAGTTGAAGTCCACCAATCATAAAAGAGCCAAGGTTGCCTACCCGTGTACTATAGCGTGCCGTAGCATTCATGTAGTGTGCTAAACCATAGCTTTGTTTACCTCAGTTTATTGACGCAATCGCTACTGGCCTGGTTTGCTGAGTACAGGCAGTCCTCGACTTACGACCACAATTGAGTCCAAAATTTCTGTGGTTAAGTGAGAATTTGTTAGGTGGGTTTTGCCCCATTTTATGACCTTTCTTGCCACAGTTAAGCGAATCACCGCAGTTGTTAAGCTAGCAACAAAATTGTTAAGGGACTCTGGCTTACCCATTGACTTTACTTGTCAGAAGGTTGCAAAAAGCGATCACATGAACACCCACCCCCCCGGGACGCTGCAACGGTCATAAATATGAACCTGTTGCCAAGCATCTGAATTTTGATCCCCTGATCACGGGGATGCTACAAAGGTGGTAACTGTGAAAAACGGTCATAAGTCATTTTTTTCAGTGCTGTTGTAAGTTTGAATGGTCACTGAATGAACTTCTGTAAGTCGATGACTACCTGTATGTTAAACCTTCAACTATGTCTTTCGAACCAAAATAGATGGTCAATCACCGGTCATCAGAGGAATTAGAGACGACAGGCAAGCTTCAAGTCCGGCAGAGGAGTTAAAATGGCTTGCAAGCAGAATGACATCGTAGCAGGTCTGGGATCCCAGGAAATTTTCTTTTCAAAATTCAGGGCTTCTTCTCACCCTGTATAATTCCTCTGGCTAGCAAAAGCTTTCCAGGATTTCAGACAGGGGACTTTGCCAGGTTCAACTAGAGACGCCAGACTGAAGTCTCTTCTTTCATCGTTTAAGGGCAGGGACCGGAAAATGTCAAATTAAGGTGGTTTTGTGCATAGAAATCAGGGGAAGGAAAGAAGTTTATGCAGGGAAAATGGACTCTGCTGATTGGCTCGACCATTTCTTATAAGCCCAACAGTAAAATTGGATGTGGCTGTTTTGTGTGTTTCAGCTAAATCAATCACAGACAAGTCTCAGTTAAGGAACTCTGAAGAGTCTGGAAATTTGGAGAGAGAAACTTTTGAGGTCCGAATGACGATTCCCTCGAGACAACGGTCTGATGAGCAGTCTACCTAAGCCAAGAGGAGTCCAGTTTTGGACTCACATAGAACGTGGTTTTCACTGATGACGCCAGACAATAAAGAGTGTTCTAAAGGAGAAAGATGCAGATCTTCTGCTGCCATGGAGCCATGGCCCTCTGGCTGTGCCCACAGTGTTTGCAGTCTCTCTTCTTCCTATAGTGGTGATCATATAGTGATGTTCCTGGAGGAATCTGCCAGCGGGTGGGGCAGGGTAGGTGTAGAAGGTGGTAAGGTGGGATGGGCCTTTCTTCTGCATTGTTCCACCGAGTCTACAGGTCATTCGTTTTATCCACGATTAGTTCAACTTCAGTACAAAATCCTCTATGTAAACTGGCTAAAGATAGCTGGTTTTAAGTATCGTCTTGTCCCCCTTTTTTATTTGTTGCTTTGGGTCCACGTTCAGATATAAAAATGGCCATGTAAAAAGAAAGCTGGTTTTGTAGTCCAAGAAATTTCTCTCTGCTATATGAAGAGAAAGAGAGATTGGATCTATCTCTATTTTTATCTCAGAAGTGGGCTGTCTTCTGGCCTCTGACAGGTGACATAATATCAGTGTGATCTACATATTTACAGATTTTGCAACCATTGGTGATTTTCTGGAAAGCTCAGAAATTCTTGAGAAAACTCTTCTTAGTGCAGAAATTATAGCAAGTGATGCTCTAATTCCTGGACTGAGCAATCTCTGTGGTCGCTGAATTATGCAGAAACAGTAACTTCTAGAGAATTGGTAGCAGCTGTTACAATAAATCAGTATAGAGAGGGAGGGTGAGGAGTCTTTAAACTTGTTCACGCTTGTGCTACACTGAGATTTTAGGGGTGGGGGTGAGTAAGATAGGCTTTATGTATTGTTAATGAATGTGCAGGTCTGTACATATGAATATACACATGTACAAGCATATCTGAACACCACCAAATTAGTATCTTATGCTGCTTCAGCCTTGCCTTATTAATTAGAGTTTCTTTTGGCAAACTATTTTAGCCTGCCATTCATAATGATCAATAGAAGCCCTAACTTTCATCTAATTCCAAATCTGAGGTGTGTGTGTATATATATATATATATATATTACTTCAGTGCAGGGCAGAGAATAATTGCCTCTTGGCAATTGCTTTTATATAAAGCAAAAACTATTTTTATTTTCCACTGCAAAATGCAAAATAGCCAAGCACTTAAAAGTATCCGCTTGCCTCTGAGTCCCATTGAATTAGTGTGCCTGCATTACACGCAGGATGAAACAACGACAAGTCCTTGATTGGCTGGTAAGCTGCATCACCTTTAAAAGCATTTAATGTCCCAGTTGGTTAGCTGTAGTTGCCTGTATGACAGGGTGACTCTGTAAGTGAAATAGACACTTTAACAGTCACAATTTAGGTAGCAGAGTGAACCCAACAAAAATATTTCTAGACCTCACAAGACAATTATTCCCTTGATCTCAAGCATACATTTGAAGTAATCACACTGTTTCAGTTGGGCAAGCAACTAATTCCGCTTCTCCGTGGCCAACACATTTAGTTCCCTAGTGAATCTTAAATCACCGCTTTAGAATTTAGAAAGCTTTCCAAACCAAACAAGACTTTGGTGGAAAAGAACATTTGGTTTCCCAGTATGGCTGTGGATCTTTCAGTGCCTAGTTACATAATACAGAATTTAGCCAGACTACACAAATATCGCTGTCTCTCATCCTGCAACAGAAAAACTTCATTGCATTTTTTTAAAAACGTGCAGAGAAGCTATTGTTCTTGAACTTGAGAACCTCAGCCAAATAGTTTGTAGGGATGAGAATGAGCACTTCCTTTCAAAAATTTCATCATGTAATTTTGGTGGCTGCTCTGCTTTTCACTAATACCATGCGAAGACTAGCAGTTATTGGGCTGGGCCAGGGCTCAGGGACCAGCAGTGGGGCTTCTCTGCCAACATTGCTACCATCTTTGCAAAATGCCAGAGGCAGAAGAAGTGGCCTCTTGGACCCAAGGAAGGTGTCTTAGATAGACCTCCTTTGAGTATTAATCATCAAAAAGCTAATGGCTACATTGGAAGGAGCAGACTTCTGCTTGTGCAGGGTTGAACCATCAAGAGATGAACAACTAGGGCTGTTTTCTTAATATAGAGGCTACCAGATTTGGATTGCAAGAATCTGGGTAATTAGCCACAAAGCATTTGTGTGTTTCTGCTGCATTCTATCACTTACCTTGGTCAGTACAAGTTACAATACAGTACAAGCATTTGTGTGTTTCTGCTGCATTCTATCACTTACCTTGGTCAGTACAAGTTACAATACAGTACAAGCATTTGTGTGTTTCTGCTGCATTCTATCACTTACCTTGGTCAGTACAAGCTACAATTCCACTTCCAGCTGCCCTTCTGTCATTGCCCACCATGCCTGGGTTCCTCTGTGGTGTAAGCGGAGCCTACAGAAGAATACCACCAGATTTGTTGTTGTTTTAAATTGAAGTATTGTGGCTGCTGCCCCTGTTGTGTTTGCATTTCTGGCCCTGCAAAATGCTCAGTAAAACTTGTGTAGTAGACTCCAGCCTTTGTTTCCGTGACACACAGTCAACAAGGGTTCCTCCTACTTACCTTTTCAAGGGATTTTCTGAATTTCTCACAGGTTGCTCTCAATTTTTGGGAAACTAGCATGCTTCCCCTTCATTGTCTGCTCTAGAAAAATCTAAAAAGATCAAAGGCTTTTTTGTGGAGAGTATTTTATATGGGGAGGAGGCGCAAGTAATAGCTTTTAGTGTATGCTATAGCTTATTCCCCCCTCAGTTTTTATTTCCCTCCCAAAGATAGTTCTTTTCCCACAGACCTTCCAAGCTTCTATATTACATTCCACCTGCTGAATGTAATATAGGTAGTCCTTGACTTATGAACATTCATTTAATAACAGTTCAAAGTTACAACAGCCTTGGAAAAACTGATTTAGACCTGTCTTTGCGCTTACAACCGTTGCGCCATCCCACAGTCAGAGCATTTGGCAACTGGCTCGCATTTATGACCAGTTGCAGCTCCCGTGATCACAACCATAATTTTTGATCTTTCCAGCTGGATTCTGATAAAAACCATCAGATGGGGAAGCTGGATTTGTTTAACATCCATGTGATTTGCTTAACAACCCATGACAATTCACTTAACAACTGCAGCATATATGGTTGTAAAACCAGATCCAACCACGTGATGACTCACTTTTCAACTGCACTTAGAATGGAAAATCTGCTCCAGATTAAGGTCATAAATCGATATCTGTAATGCCACTAATGTATGCTCAGATGCATGCATAATTATTAATTAGCATTCTCATTTCATTTATCCAACTATGTTTTGGATAATATAGGAAGCCTTGAGGAATTTATTTTATAATCACAATTTCATTCAGATTCCCACTCCCCATTAAAATCTATGTATGCCATCCTCCAACACCAACATAATTCTGAAAAAAATGGGGGAAGGGGGAGAGGTTGGCTTGGTTTTACATCTGTGATGAAATGGGTTCCAGAGTTTGATATTTATAGGTTAACACAACAAAGAAAAAACTCATAATTTAAGAAGATAATGAAAGCTGCTAATGCAGGCATAATACTGGTTAGCTTAAACAGCTTTATAAGCAGGGGCAAATTTAGAAGAATCAGCAACCAGTTGCTGAAGATACAAGAAAAGAGGGGACACTCTTCTTACAGAGATCATTATTCTCCTTCCATCTGCTTGTAAGGTAAACATTAAGATCTTTTCAAATAACACAGTCAAACTCTTAATTTGTGCAAGAGTCATCCATTAGAATGATAAAACTAGCAGCATTGGGGAGTTTGTATTATGGAATACATCTGAGGCGGTGGAGGAATTCTAGAATGAAAATGCCACAATTCTGTTAGGAAACAGACAAACGCGTTAAGCTTGATTCAAAGTGGTCTGTCTGCCTAGTAACCATCAAGCAAATATGGAATTGTATTGAAGCAGCATTTTCTCAAAGAACTATATGTTGTCATAACAGCAGTATCGAAGGCTTTTCTCACGTACAGCTGATACAAACCTGCAGTATCTTTTTCCTTCTGTGTCCTCATAACATTCCCTTCATCTGAGTCCCACTTCACACTTAAGGTGGCCTCAAGCCATTCTTAGTTTTACTGTGTCAAAATATTGTTTTTCTCTTTACCTGAACACAGGTTTTGCCACGGATACGCTGATCCCTATTGCATTTTCAAACACATGTTGCTCTCAGTGCCCTCATTACATTTTCTTGTTTCCACAGTACTGCATCTTTCTAGTTTTTGTTTCTTTTCAAATGTTCCTTATGTTCATGAAGTCCCTCGTGCTATTTCAATGCTTGATTTATTTGGACTCTGGCCATCCATACCTCCTACCTGATTTTAGAAGGTTGGATTTGGTTATTAGAATTTGTGAACCAACATGGCCTTCCAAGGCTGTAAATTTAATGGAACAATGAAGAAAACAAGTCACAAAGAAAGCAACAACAAGCCACTGTTGTATTGGTACTGAAAGTAATATATATGTGTGTTCATACATCCCCAAGAGTTAAACCTGAGCTCTTTACATTGTATCTAGGACTGTTTAACCTGGTCAAACACCTAATCAATATTTTTGCTCAAAGGAACAGAATATTCCTAACACAACATCAGTTGAGGTTTGAACTGCATCTGGGTTCACCTTAAATGCATTAGTAGTGTTAGAGGGCACTTCTTCATGTCCATGACAATGGGCTTACCTTCCATTCTTGAGGCAGGAAAAAAAGCCTATGCAGGAAACAAGACTTTTAACAGTCTGCATTTGTCACACATCAACAATAGTGCTGCTCAGTTCAAGGTACTATTGGGGAAATGGATGGTGGCTTCTCTGCCATGGAATGGTTTAACTTCTGAATTAATTAGATACTGTACCTGGGTTTGCACTACTTATTTTGACAGGACAGTAAAACCTGAAGAATACAGCCATTTCACAGTTATTGGGTAGGCAGAGGCAGAACAATTTAGAATCCCTCTCCCTCAGTACTGTATATGTATGTACAAATACAGAGACACCGAGCAACAAATCTGTGGATGCATATCC